CCCATTTCCTTATCAGGTATCTGACGGACACAACACTCACCACTCCAACATAAACACATACTAGACTTTAAACAGTGATATTGGGCCAAGCTGTATAACATCTCAGATTCTGACTAAAGAGAACTGAAGGAGCAACAAGTGTTTAAAAGATCATTGTCTGAGGATATAATCCATTATTTGTTTTAATCAGATTGACAGTGAACAGTAAAAAGCAGTATTAAGAAACTAGAAACAGAAAAGTTATTTTTCATACGTACTGCAAATATGAAAAATAAATTAGTGGGGAAAAGCGCTACAACTGTAGTCTGGAAACATTAATATAATTATAATCATTGTAAAAAATAAAGCTGACTACTGATTTCACCTACCGTGGATTATTTTTAGAACATAACTCTCGCGATAAACGAGGTGACGCTGTATATCAAAGTAGCGGGTAAGGCCTAGCAGACTCAATCCGGTCCAGTCGCCTGTGCCGAGACACCGATCAGCCAGCGCTGACTCAGTTATCATGTTGAGTAGCCCTTCTCATTGTTGTCATGAACTGGATATCGTCTTTGTCCTGCCTTCCTCAAGAATCAAGTAAAAATAAAAAAATAAAAGTCGCATTAATATTTTACTTAAATCTGTTAAATAATCAGAACGATGACTCAGAATTCTTGAATGAAGTTTCCCTCGTTCTGCTCGATGTGTTCAGATGACATATATTCACTATATCAGCTTTAGGGCGTCAGCATGTCAGTTTGTTTGTAGTGTATCATGGCGCCTCCCAGGGGTTAACAGAAGATGAATTAATACATCCGCTTCTCATCTGGATGCATTTGGCCTCATCAATAAATTTCCCCCAGGCATAGGAAAGGTTACCTAATGACATTTAAGCAGCACTGACATTAAGCAGTATATACATAACCATCACAGCACATGAAGAAAATCAAAGTCCCCTGTTACAGGAAAAAAAGAGAGAGAGAAATAATTGGGAATCATATCACTGACTCATTTCCTGTGTTACTGTGATGCTGATTCACCAGCCAGGCAAAGAAAACCAACACACATACATGAAGCTTTCCTGCGTTTCTTAAAAATACTTTCCGAGGGTGCCTTCGTATGTCTTCCAAACACACAACTGGCAGAGACTGCACGATGTAGGGTATGCATAGGGGCGCACACAAACATGTATACGAGGGTTTAACACAGTGCTTTGCCAATATTGTTTCAACCGGTTTGCTATTTATTAATTTAATTTAATTGAAACTGAAAGAGAGGGAAGACAGAGAATAGATGAGTAATGATAGAAGAAAAACAGGACAGAGACTGCATTCATACAGTCTCTGTCACTGTGTGTGTGTGTGTGTGTGTGTTGCCCGAGGAACAGTTGATGGATTTGCTGCTTGACTGCTCACACAGATTGGTGCCTGCTGTGATGGCAGCCTTGAACTGAAATTACGTGCACACTCTCACATACACAAAGGGAACTACACATAATTGCAAAAAAACTGTGTGCGCGCACGAGTGTATTTGTGTGTATTCTTAAGTTGGGACGAGCGGGCGTGTTGCCTCCAGGAGGCCATTTAAAGCTCTGTGGAAGGATGGATGAACACAAGGCCAGCCGAAGCACCAGAGAAGATGAGACAGGTTCAAAATGCTGTGTTTATGCATTGATTAGTAGCTAGGCTTTTTTTTACCCACTGATAGGTGCGTAATTTTTTAGCAAATCAGTCATAAAGCAGTCGACTCCTCTGATTATTATCTTTTGTTCAAAAAAGTGTGTGAAATGTTTTTGAAGTGAAGAGAAAACAGGGATTAGTTTAAACGTCCTGAAGGATCTCAGAGCCGCTTCCTGAGCTCAGTTTTCCAGTTACTCTGATGATAGGCTGAGATCATAGTTCATCCAGGTCTTGTTAACTCCTCCCTGATGACAAAAATGAGAGGTGGACAAATAGTTTGGTCTTGAAAGTTGCGAAGATTTGTGTTTTGTTCCCATGTTTGGGCTAAACAGGGATAGCAGGAAGAAAGAACGTTCAACGACACCATCTATTAATCCACCAATAACGACGGAGCCTGAGAAAAGATTCTGTCTTACACAAAAACTACTTTACCTCACACTCATTTCTCCCCAGTTCCATCAGGATATATGAGTTTTTATTAAATGCCACATACAATCATTAGCTGACATCAGGTGTTTGAAACAGGTAGCTGTGAATTCCCTATGGAGACGCTGAGGACAATAAATTGTATGTAAAAGTAGCTATATTGGACATATATGTTCAATTAAATTAAAGTGTGTCAATAATCTGTATATGTATGTTTCTTTATGTGATTCTTATTTCCTTCTGTGGCTCTTAGTGTGATTTAATTTGACACCCTTGATTAAAGAATGAAACACATTGGTTAAAAACTGAATGACCATTGAATGAATGGGATCATCTCTAGTGGAAAGTTACTGAGACAGTGTTGTTTAGACTAGAATGAGAGAACTTCTATAATAAAACTGTTAGGGGCACACCACCATTTTGAGATCCACGGCAGCGTGTCATGCAGGACGCATCTCCCTTTTAGAAGTAATAAAGTGTTAAATGGTCTACTGAGCAGTGTTTTGTCTTCCATCGGATGCCTCTGAGAAATCAAAAGAACTCGGTGAAGTGTTGATATTTACAATTGGGGGCTCGTCCGGGATTCCAATAGGAGGCTGAGGAAGATAGATTGGGCGATCTGGGCACAAAAGAAGGTGTTGATATTTACACCTTCTTTTGTGTCTTTTTCTTCATTTTGAGTGTAAAGCAATGAAATTAAATAGTCATACGTTGTACTTGGGTAGGGGTTGTGGTGACACGGAGATTTATTTATTCATTTTAAAAATGGAGGCAAGCCCAGAATTTGTAATAAAACACTGATAATGTAACGATATTGCAGATTATTTGAATGTTGCATACATACACACACAAAGACAAATATAAACTGGAAAAAGGGATAAAATGTAAATCATTCAAATTTCCCGCCAAAACTGCTGGTAAGTTATCATAGCCATCATTTGGAGTAGATGTCCCCAAGCCCCACGGCACAGACCGTGGTCGTTTGGGCCACAAGACTTGAGGCTCGGGTGTGAACTTTATGGGTTTTATTGGTTTTTATCGTTAACTCGGTTTCCCTGGGTCTTTTCCCGTGTGTTATGAATAAATCTTTTTTTTGGTACCAGTACTGGTTTTATTTTGTTGTATTTATCCGCAACACCTTAAAGGTCGGTGTGTGAAAATATTGTCGGACATAAACCGGTCTGTGGCGCAAAAAAGGTTGGGGGCCGCTGCTTTAGCATCAGGGATTTTGGGACAAGACCCTCAAAGTCAAACTTTTCTCAAACCTGAGGTAAGAATACCACTGATTGATGAATTAAATGGCTATCCAGGCAATCGAAACATGGAAAGTCAACTACCTCTGCTTTTATTTAAATGAGAACCGTTGTTGGGTGCTGATTAAGCTCACATCCCACGAGGCCAGAGAGCAGCGGTCCGGGTTATAGTCTAACCCAGCTGTTCCCAACCCCCGGGCATCGGACCAGTACCAGTCCGTGAGTCGTTTGGTACCGGGCCGCGAGAGTTGAGGCTCAGGTGTGAAATGTATGGTTTTCAGGGTTTTTATCGGTTTTCAGCGTTATTTTGTTATCGTTTTTATCGTTAACTCGGTTTTTCTGGGTCTTTTCATGTGTGTTATGAATAACTCTTCTATTTTTCAGTACCGGTACTAGTTTTATTTTGTTGTATTTTTCCGCGACACCTTAAAGTCCGGTCCGTGAAAATATTGTCGGGCATAAACAGGTCCGTGGCGCAAAAAGGTTGGGGACCACTGGTCTAACCCACAGGCCTTTGCTACATGTCTTCCCCCTCTCTCTCCCCTCTTTGCGGTCTCTATCCAAAAAAAGCAAAATGCCAATAAATAATATTTTTAAAAAAAACATCCAACAGAACACCCTTGTTAGACTAATAAACAAACCATTTGCTTTTCGAGGTAAAATGCATTTTTCTTCCTCTTTATTTTACATGAACATCGCACATATTCAAAATATAAATAATAGTCATCTAGAACCCCGCTCATCACTTTAACGCAACAAACACGTTGGCTCATCTCATTCGAACCAGACTGATAGAGAGCTACGGTCTTGACACTAAAGCCAGAGAAGCAGTACAAGCAAGAGTGAAAGTCACGACCCAGCAGGTACTTTAAACAGCCCTGACACTGATTGAGACTAAGTGGCAGGATGAGTCAGTAAACACTGTAGGGCTTCATCCAGTAGCAGTGAACAAAGGATGTTTGCACCCACACATGTCGTGCATAAATTAAAGTATATTTATATAAGAAGGGCACTTCTGATACGTTTTTAATGTGCTTGTTCAAATTCATGTCCAGTTAAGGGCAATTTACTTCCTGAGTTTGAAAGTTGGATTTAAACAGACAAAAAGATTTGAGTTCAAGCCAGCAGAGAGGTGACTTTGGTGAGAGAGTCCTCTTGGCTGTGCAACATTTGAAATCAATAAAAGACATAATTGACTTGAGCTGGCGAATGAGAGGTCATGCCAGAATTTTAAAGTCTTTTATAGTGGATGTCATGTTGTTTAGAGAGAAAGGAAGAGGACATGCAGATGTTTAAGCCATGATTCTTTAAAAAGATCATTTCCTGTCCTAAATTTATGGATGATTGAAGATTAAGTATCATCTGGATAAAGACCATCTAATGTTCTGAAAGTGTAAACCTTTGTTTCTGACAGGCAGTGCTGACAGTCATAACAAAAGCAAAAAGCAAAGCAGCGAGTGGACATCCGTGTCATCCCGCAAAGTGTGAAACTTTGTGCTGAAACTTTTTGGTGTAACCTCATTAGCGGTGACAGTGTCCGTCGCTGTGCTTTCTCAGCATCCAGTGAAACTGATTTTGTTTTGTTCCATTGTGACATGTTGATCCCCCCCACACACACACACCCCATCTACCCCCCATTCTGTCTGTCTTTCTTTTTTAGTGGTGCATCAGGGAGCAGCAGTGAATCAGAAAGCAGCTCAGAGTCTGACACCGACGAGTCTGAGAGCAGCTCCAGTGACAGCGAGTATAATCAGGCCTCCCGCACAAACACTCCAGAGGTAGGATGACAACTCGATCTGTGTGTGTGTGTGTGTGTGTGTGTGTGTGTGTGTGTGTGTGTGTGTGTGTGTGTGTGTGT